GTTCGATAAGCTCAGAGTCGAGCTCTCAATAACTCGGAGCCTTGTATAAATTGCTTTCTCTCTTCCGATATAAGTTTCCTTATTGTTGTGTTTTACTCATTTGCTTCCAAACCGTCAAACAGAAATGATCAATCTTCTAAGACACAAGCCATATCTTGAATTGTTGGGCATGTCCGAGCCGGATCAACAACAAGCACTACTGGAAACAGCAAGCGCCGAACAAGTACACTGCCTGTGTCTGTGTCTGTGTAGAAAACGTTATGAAAAGAAAATATTTAATGCCGAAGCATGTGATGAAGAAACTCCGACCTTACAAAAATGAAATGCTTAGGTTGGCAGATAGAGGAAAATGTGGAAGAAGAAAAACGGATACTCGTTCAACGTGGTGAAGGTTTCCTTGGACTATTACTAAGTCCTATTTTAGAAAGCCTGGCTGAACTTGTATAAAAGCCCTGTGACTTCAATTTATACATCATTTCAACAATGAACATCGAGAGTAAAACATCTCCGCGACATTGGCGCATTGAAGATATACTTTTGTATCTGAACAATAATGTCAATAGAACTACAGCAGAAAAAATGCTACATTCTATTCTTATATCAAGTGATATATTAACTTGGAATCCTCAGGGGGAGATTGTTTATCATGGAAGAGACATTGCTGGTACTAACATCGAGAACCTTTTACAATACGCACTTTTACCATACAACTCTCACATTCCTGAACCACGAGGGCTTGACCTGTTTACAAAAGGTTTAGTAGAAGCAGGGGTTAATAAAGATTTAATTCAAAATGAGTATTTATTGTCAAAAATGGCAAAGGAGGACACAATCTGAGAGTGATGTTGAAAGCGAATCTGATGAAGAGAACATGGAATCTGACAAGAGTGATAATGAAAGCGAATATGATGATAATGAGGATGATGATAATGAGGATGATGGTGAGCCCGAGAAACTAGCTTGTAACCATTGTGGTGAAGAGACTGGTCACATTGTATACTTAATGAAGTGCCCAAGATGTTCGTGGAAAGATTTCTACTGGGACAAAGACGCTCAATGTATGATATGTGATGAACAGTCACCTTTACTGTCTTCACATGTCATTGGTTTCTGCGAGCTATGTTCGTATGGTACGTCTAACACCAAGACGGGTGGAGTGGAGTTCACACCAAAAATGGACAAATAAAAGACCCAGCAGATTGGACCGAACGTGACCTAGCGCGAATGACTCCGGAAGCAAAAGAGGATTATGAACGTTTTATATTGAGCGATAGACCGAAATATATTCCAATGAAGCCGGAAAAACTTGCAAAGTTATCCCCAGAAGATAGACAAGAATATGAGAACTCTTTAAAAATAACAAAAACACCTAGACGTTACGCTCTTAGAAGTAGACCTTACTAAATTTTGTAAAACATTTTGAAGAAATAAATGTATTCTAAAACTGAAATACTGTGCAAATTTTTGCCCGCAAAGCCCGCTCTTTCAGCCCGCGCGAAAAGATCCGTGTACAAATATGTTGTACTTTAATATATGCATGCACCCGCAAAGCCACGCGCCTGATTTTAAGGTATACACCGGCGTTAAAAATAATCCCTATCTATCCATCGGAATACACTTAGTTATGCAAATTCGTATTACCTTAATCCCCTTAATTACTTACACGCCTCCTAATGACTTAGCAACGCATAACAACGCAGCAAAGTTTAAAACATGTTTCTTAATACAAATAATATACAAAAAATATTACAACTAAGACTGTTAAATTGTTCTACAAGTTTTTCCTTGACCGTATATATGTATGTAGGTTTGCTAAATAATGTTGAACAACATGCAAATAGCGATCATAAAAACGGCTTTGACAACCCGGGATTAGCAACTGCTTATTTCTGTTGCGATATTTTTTATTTCTGTTTGGAAACTTATTGCTCAAAACGAGCCATCAAAATTAAAACGAATTTCAATTGCGTGTTGAAAATAAGAGAGGGACTCACAACGTTGCTACATGGTTGTAAGGCAAAAATTTTTCTACCGTACCGGGTTCGAACCGGTGACCTAAGGAATACTGATTTGGTAATAACTACAGTCCTTTGCTCTACCAACTGAGCTAACGGTAGGTTTTAAAAACTAACTTCTATTTCATACTTTTATACATGCAAACTATGAGAAACCTCTTGTCGTTTTATTACAAATTTGTCAGAAACTAGTTGTGATGCTAATTGATCACCTGCCACATTTGGCCCAGGCTTGCCCGCGTTAATTGGTCGCGCTACCTGGCGTCATAGATTTTGCAAGCTAATTATAAATTCCGCCAAAGTGTTAGCTGAACAAAGTGACGTCATAGATTTTGCATACTAATGAATTTCGACACCTAAGTTTGCATACTAATTACTTCCGTTGCCAGATGGGGGTCTTTCACTACTAGCATTGTATCACAGAATACTTGATCATATAAGTATGTGGAAAGGTCTGATTTAAAGTGGTTTGAGTTGTAGTGTTTGAAATTTCTTGATTTAATCACTTTTGGCTTTTTACGGGGAACGGAAATTTTTTTCTGTATATAGATTAAGCTGTGATCACTTATCCCCAGATGAATGACACCCGAGCCATTTATCAATTCCGGTTTATTGGTGAATGCTTGATCTATTAAGGTTTTACTATTAGCTTAATTCGCGTTGGATCACTAATTAATTGTTGAAATTGAAATGTCTGTGCAATTCCAGCAAGGTTGTTTGTCTGAGCGTTAGCGCTGTTACTATCCAAGCGAGACCAATCGCAGTTGTAATCTCCAAGTAAAATGATTTCCTGTTTTCAGAGTCCATTCGGGTAATTAAATCCTCGAATGCATTGAATATTTCAAGTGTTGTATTGGGTGGTTTATACCAACTATTAATTAATAATGGTTTGGATTTTGGTTTTGAAATTTCAAGTGTAATTGTTTCGAGATTATCGTCAGTTAAATCGTCTCTTATTATGAACTTTATTGAGGTTCTTATGTATATTGCGACTCCACCACCGTGCCTATTCCTGTCTTTTCTCACAATATCATAACCATTAATTTTGATCTCTTGATTTGAGACAGACAGGTCAAGCATGGTTTTGTTAACGCTAATTATTTCAAATTGTTGTTTATACTGTAAAGATACAGCCTTAGTTCATCGATATGCTTGATTAAGCTTCGTACATTTAAATGAGCGATCTTGAATCCCTTTAATCGATCAGCATGCTTATTACTATCAGTATTCTACCAAATCACTACATACATCCGGGTTACCATGAGATGCGCACGCATCGCCGTAGTTCAGTGCATTGTTATACGCCGTTGGAGAAGGAGTTTTGAAGACATTTTCGAGAAAATTTAAGGTTTTACTTGATCTTATAAGGTAAGTTCATTGATTTTTATTGCTTTTGGTTCTTGTTGAAACGGTGGTAGACGTGATTTACCACATTTTATGAAGTTTAAGCACTTCAAATTGGATAAATTCATCGGCTTGTGACGTGTCACACTGCCTCCTGGTCTGCACAGAACGTGTTTTGTGCTTATAAATTCGCTGGTTTACAATTACAGGACGTGTCCTGTATTACTTGAGCATAAGACGTGTCTTTGCTCTTTATTATATAATAATAGTTCCTCACCATATTGTTTAGGTGATGGAAAATACTAGTGTGCCAGCCAGCGAAACCGGGGCGATTATCCCTTCGACGTCGGCTTCCCAGTTGAAATCTATGTTTAAAGAGTTACTTGATGAAACTAAGAAGGATATTTTATTACAAGTTAAAGATAATATTGATCAGATTTATACAGATTTTGAGTCTGTTGCCATTGAGAATGAAGAAGTTGCCTCCACTGGTGAGGCATCAGAGCCTGGCGTTACAGATAAAATTGAAAATTTTGTTCTGCCAAACATTCCTACCAGGAAGATCCAACTGATACTGGCTCATTCCATAATTTGGCAGTGGAGTTTTCTGCGGTAGAAAAAACTTCACCAGCTCTTATTCCTGGGTTGACTGAAATTGTTAATAGCCTGCTCAGAGACTGACAAAAAAAAAATTGTCTGAGGTCCAATCACAGTATATCAGACCAGAGAATTGTCCTAATTTAGTTGCACCTAAGGTTAACAAACAATTTGGCAGCAAATGAGGCAGGAAACTAGGAACACTGATTCTGCTCTTCAAAAGACACAAGGTCTGTTGATTTCAGGCCTTTGTGCTGTCTTAGAGGTGTGTAATGTTTCTGATGGGGATAAAACATCTAAGCTTGCCCATGCAGCTGTTTTATTGTTGACAGTAAATCGAGAGTTCAACATGAAACGCAGGGACTTGATTCGTCCTGATCTTAACAAGCAGTATGGTGCGTTGTGCAACCCATCAACGGCCATTTCAACTTATCTCTTTGGTGATGAGTTGAATAAAGAAGTGGAGGAGCTTACTAAATCCAATAAGCTTAGCAACAAAGTTCTCACCAAGCCTCGTTCGGATTACCGTGCAGAACCTTACAGGGTACCCTTTGGCAGAGGTGCACGTGGACGAGGTCGTTTTAATCAGACTAGCGGTCGAGGTCGCGGATCAAAGTCGTACTCCTCTTTTTTAGGGGTAAGCCGGGGTCACGGGCGGACCCCGACAAGCACCAAGACATCAGTCAACAAAGGAAATTAGAATCACCAACCGAGGTAAGTAATGATGCTATCGCTACGTTAATTGCTAATCAGCCACCATTTAAGGCAGGTGGTTTGAAAGATTGTGTACATGCTTGGACAGAAATTACATCAGATCTATTTATTTTGGATGCTGTGACTCATTGTCATCTTGAATTTGATTCCTTACCAGAGTCAAATGTTAGTAATACTAGACCATATTTTACTTTTAATGAGACTGAGCAAACTGTCATAGATGGGGAAATTGAAAAGTTTCTCCAAAAAGGAATAATTAGGCATTCCGTTCCTGAATCTGGTGAAGTGTTGTCACCTATGTTTATTACACCTAAAAAAGATGGAACTAGTAGAGTAATTTTCAATTTAAAGGCACTCAATCAATTTGTCTCATATCACCATTTTAAAATGGATACTTTAGATACTGCTATCAGACTTATGAGACCTGGTTGCTTCGTGACCTCCATTGATCTTAAAGGTGCTTATTATTCTATTCCTATAGCATTGAAGCATCAAAAATATTTAAAATTTATATGGTGGGATAAATTGTATTGTTTCACTTGTTTGCCAATGGGTTTGTCAAGTAGTCCTAGAGTTTTTACAAAGGTCATGAAGCCAGTTTTTGGCACACTTAGATCTCAGTTTGGACACACCTGTTTTGGCTATATTGATGACTCCTTTTATACAGAGGGGTCTCACACGGAATGTCTACAAGGCTACCCTTAATGCAGTCAAGTTGATTATTAATTTGGGTTTTAAAGCCCACCCTGATAAATCAGTTACTTTATCCTCACAATGTATAGAATTTCTTGGGTTTCTTTTGAATTCTGTAACTATGACCGTTACTCTTACACCTGATAAGAAAGCAAAACTTATCCGATTGTGTCAGACGTTTTTGCGCCCCAAACACATTGTTTACTATTCGCCAGGTGGCTTCTTTGATTGGTTCTCTAGTTTCATCTTTTCCTGGAGTTGAGTTTGGCCCTCTTCATTATCGTCATATTGAGACAGACAAAGATTATTATTTACGAATGCATCAAGGTAATTTTGATGCAGAAATGTCTTTGTCTGCTGACAGTTTAGAGGAGATTCATTGGTGGGTAAATAACATTCAGTTGTCCACTAGAAAAATCTATCATACCACTCCAGATATCACCATTTACACTGATGCATCTGGAACAGGATGGGGAGCCAAGCTTGAGAATGGGGGTACAACATGTGGCATTTGGTCACACGATGAAACTGAAAAACATATAAATTGTTTGGAATTATTGGCCATTCAATTAGCCCTTTTTTCTTTGTTGCGTGATAGAAGTAGCATACATGTGCGTATGTGTGCGGATTATGTGTGATAACACAACTGCTGTCACATACATTAATGAAATGGGTGGATGTAGATCTGTAGAGTGCAATACTATTGCTCAAACAATTTGGCGTTGGGCCATTGCCAAGGGAATTTGGTTGTCAGCAGCGCATATTGCCGGATCTGCCAATGTTGATGCTGACCAATTGTCCCGAAATTTAAATTTAAATTTGGAATGGATGTTAGCTTTACCTACTTTCCAAAGAATTGTCTCATTATTTGGCCAACCAGACATAGATCTTTTTGCTAGAAGGTTGAATGCCCAACTCCAAGATTATGTTTCTTGGAAACCACATCCAAAGGCTAAATTCATAGACGCCTTTTCGATCACATGGTCATGGTTTTATTTTTATGCATTCCCCCCATTTTGTCTTGTATCTAGATGTGTGCAAAAGATCATACAAGACAGGGCAACCGGAATTCTTGTGCTTCCGCTATGGACTACCCAAACATTCTTTACGGTAGTTCTCAGTCTGTTAGTCGATGTTCCACGGATTCTCAAAGTAACTCACCAGAACCTGGTTCATCCCACGTTCGACAGTCCTCATCCACTTCAGGATCAACTGAAGTTTATTGTATGCAAGTTATCCGGAGATCTTTGTGCGAGTCAGATATTCCAACAGACATTATCAACACAATCATGCATTCCTGGAGAGACAGTACTCATAAACAGTATGGTAACTATATCAACAAATGGTTGCAGTTTTGTGTTCAGCGGTCGTATGATCCCTTGCATCCCACTATAAAGTGTGTATGATGTTTTTGTATTCGTTGTACAAAAAAGGTATGAGTTATTCTTCACTTAATACGACGCGTTCTGCTATATGAAATCTATGTGTCAATCGGCAAACATTTTCTAATTTGTCGTTATCTCAAAGGAGTGTTCAATGAAATGAAACCGGTCCCAAAATATCATTCTATATGGCCAGTTGACCTTGTCCTTGATTATTTGTCCACCTTGTGGCCTTTAGAAAAGCTATCTCTGAAGGAACTTACTTTGAAATTAGTAACATTGATAGCGCTCACAACGGGACAAAGGTGTCAGACTTTGACGTTTTTAGATATTTCTGCTGATTATATGTCTAAGACGGATGATTCTGATCGATTTGCGCTTACAGAACACGTCAAACAAGACCGACTTGGCAAAGTATTTGGAAATCTGTGTTTGTATAAGTATACTGATACGGAGCTGTGTGTGTATGGAACATTAGAATATTATATGAGTGTCACTGAGAAGTTGCGGACTTCTACAAAACTATTAGTGTCCTTTGTTAAATAAGCCTTATAGTGCGTGCTGTAACTGCGTCAACGGTTGGACGGTGGATTAAGACATTGCTCGGACAGGCAGGTGTTGACACATCGAAGTTTTCAGCACACAGCACAAGGGTTGCATCCACTAGCAAGGCAGCCCTATCTGTACCGGTAGATGTAATCCTAGCCACAGCTGGCTGGAGGGACGAATCGACAATTTGTAAGTTCTATAATACGCCTGTTTCTGTTACCAACCAAATAAGTTTGGCTGTGTTAAAACGTTGATAAGTTGATATTATATGTTTATCATTGTGTTGCAGTGTGTATTAATGAAAATAGGTTTTTCTGCTAGGTGTCATTTTGTGTTCACTGCTTTAAAATCTCATGGTAACCCGGATGTATATAGTGATTTGGTAGAATTATAAATTAAACGAGACTTACCTTAAGTTGAAGTTTGAATTACTGTAAGTAATTCGGTAGAATTGTAATCAAACTTCAACTTAAGGTAAGTCTCGTTTAATTTTTAATTCTTGACCGCGGCTTGATTTCAATTTAAGGATTGATTTTTTAAAAACTGTTTTATGTTTCTTGCCAGTGCAGTTGTTCCTCTTTGGTTTAAGTGCAAACAATAGCTATTTAAATGAGTCTTAGTGATACTTTTATGTGTAATAAATCCCCAATTGCGTTCAGTACACAGATTGTCTATAACAATGGGAGGGGGAGGGGGGGGGGGCGGCGGTGGTTGATAAATACCGAATATTGAATATTTTTTAGAGCTGCCCCCGATCGCAAAACCTTTATTTTCAAGACACCCCCACCTTCATCTAGAATACTTAGGACTCCCGGGGCCCCACTCCAACATTTAATTTACTACATTTTTGGTGTAAAATAGGTATGTGCCAAATACTGGTGTAAGACATTGTGTAGCCTAAATAATTAGAGGACCAGCATTCAAAATGGTTGTTATTTACTCCGACACCTATGGTGAACTGCATATATGTAATAAACTATGGAAACTAGAAACTACGAATTATAGGAACTAAAAAAGGTGAAATATTTTGTGGGATACGATAAGGACGAGAGAGATTGAAAATGAGTAGGACAGTATGAAAAAATTGGGGTTGCCACTTGTCACATATTTTTCAGTTTGAGGCCGCCCCCAATTCGGGCAAAAATAGTTGAAGCCGCCCCCCTTTTCTCACCCACCGCTGCCTCCACCCCCCTTTCTATTATTAATGACCGGTCCCTTATATTATATTTTTTTGCCAAACCAATCCGTGTTTTTTATTTCATGGGACAAAATATCATTTTTGTTCACCTTCAGGCAAAATAAACAAAGTCATAACAAAAGGCGCGAAAGTACCCGCCGTAAACAAATTTACTCAAATGTCATTGTTGTATCATTTGATTAGACGAAACATTTTTCCGCGTATGAGAAAATTGTTTCGCCTTTCTAATTTGCTTATATGCATTGCAAAGCGAGTTTTCTCATAAGTTCATCCTATCGGAAAACTCAACATCTATATAACAAAATTACCGTAATTTCTGTTCATGGGCGTACAGGAAGGAAAAATTTAGAGGGGCGGAAAGAAATTTGCCCGACTTTTTCGGATTTTGCCCGACAAGTACCGAAAAAATTTTTTCGGACATACCAAAATTTTTCGGAGCATAACAAAAATTTTCGAAACATTACAAAATTGACCACAAAATTTACAGAATTTGTCCCATTTATTTTTATAATAAACCAAAATTGCCCGACTGTTGAGCGAATATTGCCCGACTGCCCAACAAACTGGGGGGGGGGAGGAGGGCTGCCGCCCACCCCCGCCCGGTACGCCCATGTTTCTGTTATAAGCCCCACTCCTGGGGCCTACTTTTCCAGGCACCTTTAAGGCAGGGGTAATTATCGAAACAGGAAGGTTTAAAAGAGTGGGAGGTTTTTTTAAAGAGGGCTCAATACGAGCGATTGCTGGTGATTTCAGAATATATAAAATTGCCATGTTAAAATGAAGTAATATCACTAAAATGTAATAATATGTTAATCACAACTTATTTTTTACCCAAAAACAACACATAATTACAAATGATCTTAGTTCATTCATGGTTTGCAATCAATCCCTTGAGATTTACAAGACAAGAACATGGCTGCTGCTATTTTGGAGGAAACTACGCTCCATTTCAGTCCAAATACAACGGCTGTTAATGAGATTCTTTTGTTAGTTTTCCTCCAACATGGCCGCCATGACATCAATTGCAAACCAAGAATTATAAATGCATCCCTGAATCAACAAATCAATTATCACCAAAATATCATTCTCCTTTTCAGCATTTAACCAATCACCAAAATATCAATCTCCTTTTCAATATCAAACAATCCCAAATCAATGTCAAGCTAAATTTCAAAAACAACATATTACAAAAAATATTTTCAATTTATCTTGCCTGGGGCAGCATATTGTCATGTATACTCATATGATCTTCAAGTTCAGTGGCAATTTCAAACTCGGCATCGCAGACACAACAGATATAACCAATACCAGTTGCTTCTCCTGCTTCCAATTCCTTACAGACATCACATTGGTAGAATGTACCATGCTCTTTGGCCTTGTGCTGATTTAAACTTTGAATATCAGGGAACTGTCTGTTGCATTTATCACACTCAACATGATCACCACTCAGCATCTCATTAGCATGTCCTTCTCCTTGTGACCGACTAATTTCTCTGCCACAAGTGTTGCACAACAAAAATCCATCTCTTGAATGTAATCTCCAGTGACGTTTGAGACCTTTTCGTTGTGTGAATGTTTTCGCGCAGATACGACACTCAAAACTCTGTTCACTCTTGTGTACTGATATTTTATGTCGTGTTAACTTGCGTGATTCTGGAAATCTCTTGTTACAAACATCACATTCATAAGGTTTGTCTCCAGTGTGTGTTTTTTTGTGGGTAGTTAAGTGGCTCAATTGTGAAAACTCTTTCTTACAAACATCGCATTCATAAGGTTTGTCACTAGTGTGTGTTCTTTTATGTCGAGCTAAACTGCTGGGAGCTGAAAATCGTTTTTTGCAAACATCACATTCATATGGTTTGTCTCCAGTGTGTGTTCTTTTATGAACCACTAAGTGGTTCAACTGTGAAAATCTTTTGTTGCAAACATCACATTCATAAGATTTGTCTCCAGTGTGTGTTCCTTTATGAACCACCAAGTTGCTAGACTGTGAAAATCTTTTGTTACAAACATCACATTCATAAGGTTTGTCTCCAGTGTGTATTCTCTTATGAACCGTCAAGTTGCTTGAGTTTAAAAATCTTTTGTTGCAAACATGACATTCATAAGGTTTGTTTCTAGTGTGTGTTCTTTTATGTCCAGCTAAACTGCTGGGATCTGAAAATCTTTTTTTGCAAGCATCACATTCATAAGGTTTGTCTCCAGTGTGTGTATTTTTATGAACCGCCAAGTTGCTAGACCGTGAAAATCTTTTGTTGCAAACATCACATTCATAAGGTTTGTCCCCTGTGTGTGTTCTTTTATGAACCGTTAAGCTGCTCGACTGTGAAAATCTTTTGTTGCAAACATCACATTCATAAGGTTTGTCTCCAGTGTGTGTTCTTTTATGAACCGCCAAGTTACTAGCATGTGAAATTCTTTTGTTGCAAACATCACATTCATAAGGTTTGTTTCCAATGTGTGTTCTTTTGTGTTGCACTAAATTTCTTTTCTTTGAAAACATCTTGCTGCAATACTCGCATTTCATAGACATGATTTGAGCTTTTGATTTTTCCCCGTGCGGTCACACGTGCGCTCAAATTTCGATAAAATATTACGCAGCTGTTCCCTCGAGTCTTTCTTTATTGAATATTTAAATGCTTTGGTTCTTACAGAAACTCTGATTATAAAAACGAGAATATTCAGAGACACAGTTTGCAACCAACACCGATATGAAAATATGGCGCCCAAAAAGATTCATCATTTCATTGTCGTGTTTCCACTTTTTATTTCGCAACACATAGAATAAATCCAAACATATATGAACAATTTGGGCTGTTGGAGAGATGAAACTGATCCAACTTTTTTGTGCCAATTTTTTTTTGTTTCATCATTTAAATTCATTATTAATGTAGAAGTCATCTTTGTGTTAGATGGGAACTCTTATATTAGATACAGAGTTAATTATAACGGCTGACCTATAACCTATTACATCCTCCTTTTCATTGTTTCCCAATGTAAGGTTCTATTATATTTTGAATAATTTTGAGTCTAGAAAAGTTTTGGTAATGTTCTAAAAATTTCTATTCTAAATTTCAACTATAATACATCATTTCGGAATTAAAGTGCGACACTTTTAATAGTTATTGAGCCTCGTTTTCAGTATGCGACATTAGTGGACGTCTCAATTCGGATAGAAACGGCGAGGCTGTTTAGCCAAGGTGATTGTAATATCTAAGTACTAGATGCATATTTGTGCCATAGAATATATTTAGTATAGTATTACAATATTAATATATATATATAATATATTTAGTATAGTATAACAATAACCACGCGTCCTATGTCTATATAGTTAATTAGTTCAGACCACTGAGCTATACTTAATATATCTGGAGATCGTGCTCCAATACCTCGTCAGTCAAAAATGTGTGACCAAAAACATGGCGGCCGATTTTGGCCAAATTTACGTCATTTTGGCGTCACAATCGACCTAAATTTATGGTGAACACCGCTGACCTTAAATACTAAAGTGAAGAAAAAAGTTATTCACACCCCCATAGAATAAGAAATGAATAGAAATGTGCTGTGCGAGAGTACTAATTCGGTAATTCCGACCGGCTATTTACACCCGGGTGTTTGAAAACATAGCGAAGTGCAAAGTTGTCCTCCATTATGTGAAAGACGGTCTTCGACGTTATTGCGCATGCACGTGTAATAGCTCGCACTAAAAAATTGTTTTTCATTTTGCAAGCACGCGGGCTAATTTTGCAAAGATGTATTGGCAGATTGCATTTATTTTCCGCACAGGTGGGTCGAGGACAATGGAAAATCCAGGGGAGGGGTGTAAAAAGGCCTTGGAAAATCCAGGGGGGGGGGTGAAAAAGACTGCAGAAATCCAGGGGGTGGGGGGATTAGAGGCCAAAATCCAGGGGATGGTCTGCGATTAAAGCCATTTTCCAGGGGTGTCTAGCAATGAATTCCTAGGAAATTCCAGGGAGGGGGGTATATAAACTGAATTCCAGGGAGTCACAATTTAGCTGGTAAAAAGATGTCCTCAACCCCCCCTGTGCGGAAAATAAATGCAATCTGCCATTTTGCTATTT